ACAGATTTTATTGATACAAAGATATAATAAATTATTACATCCATCTATAATAATCTGGTTTCATGTCTACTCTACCCATCTAGTTGCATTAATGCAGAAATGGTAGAAACCAGTAAGCCTTCTCATCCCCAGGGGTTCCACCAGTACTTACTAAATCCATGTCTGTGCACGGTCAAACTGAAGGACCTCAGTCTGTACTGGCTGGCTCCCAGCATGCCTGTGGGGGAAAAGTTTAACATTGGTATGGTTTTGAAGATATTACTTGAAAATGACAAGCAGCAGAAAATATTTATTGTAGGTGTTTGAACATTAAGTGTGTACAAAGATTCAAACAATTTGTTTATTAAGTTGAAGATGAGGTTGATCTTGACTAGTTTTTTCTGTTACAGTTTTGAAAGAAATTGTTAATTTTATATTTAGACTTATGAAATATGTTGGCCCTAGGAGAGTGGTGGAGCAGAGGTTAGAGAAGGTGGGCCTGTGATCGGAAGATCGCCGGTTCAAGCCCCGGTACCAACAACATCAACAATGTGGATGGGGTAGGTGAAGCACCCACACCTGCCCCCACCCTCATTCGTCCCACTCTGTGCCCTTGAGCAAGGCCCTTAATCCCCACCATCTGCTCCTCCGGGTGTCCTAGACAGCAGCTCTCTGCTCCACAGAGGCTGTGGTAGCTCGGTGTCTGTGGTTGAGTCAGGAAGGACATCTGGTGTAGAAATAACTGCCATGTCTTCGTGCGATTTAGTTCGCTGTGGCGAGCCCTGAAGAAGGGAGCAGCCGAAAAAAGAAGAAAAGAATCCACAGTGACACTGTGTGCTGAGCCCCCTCCTGTTCACTCTGCTCACATATGACTGTGCAGCTACCCATCCAGGCTGTCACATTGTAAAGTTTGCAGATGATACAGCGGTGGTGGGATGCATCACAAACAATGATGAGTCCAGCTACAGGCAGGAGGTGGAACACCTGGAGAGCTGGTGCAGAGAGAATAACCTTCACATCAATGTGAAGAAGACAAAGGAGATGATTGTGGACTTCAGAAGGAACAAAAACACCTACACCCCCCTGAACATAAGAGGATCTGTGGTGGAAGTGGTCTCCAGCTACAAGTACTTGGGTGTGCACCTGAACAACAACAACAGCTGGAGCAACAACACCACCAGCCTGATGAAGAAAGATCATCAGAGACTCTACTTCCTCAGACGGCTGAGACGAGCTGGTCTGGAAGCTCAGTCCTCACCTCCTTCTACAGGTGTGCAGTGGAGAGCATCCTGTGCTCCAGCATCAACGTGTGGCATGGAGGCTGCACAGCTGCAGAAAGAAAAGCTTTGCAGAGAGTGGTGAAGGCTGCACAGAAGATGTTGGAGTCAGTCTCCCCACCATCACAGACATCTACACCTCAAGATGCAGGAAGAGGGCCACCTGCATCATGAAGGACCCCACCCACCCAGCACACACACTTTTTGCCCCACTCCCCTCAGGAAGGAGGTTGAGGAGCATTAAGTGTAGAACCACTAGACTGAGGAACAGCTTCTACCCTGAG